TCTCTCCTTCGCTTAGGCTTTGGGTAGGTTAGAACTGAGGGCCAAAGCTCCTTAGATGACCAGACCCCGCCCTTGGAGACTTGGCTGCCAGTGTTGCAAAATGCCCTATTTCCTCTGAATGCCTCCCAGCAGAGCCAAGGGGTTGCTAGCTGGGTTGCTGTTGGGATTAGCAGCCTTGGGCACCCAGACTTCCTTCTGGTGGTCCCTGCAATAGAGCCCCAAATAAGACCCTCTCCAAGGCAAAACTTCATGCACCTGAGCTCTTTTCTTGCCACAGAATTCAACTGCCTTTGTTTCCCACAGCCTGTCCTTTCCCTTTCTGGTGCTGCCCTCTGCCTGGCTGATTGTGCTCACTGCTGGCTGGTAGTCACATCCTCCATCCACTCAGCTGGGTGGCTCCTTCTCTTATGAGCCAGGTGCTGGAGTGTTTCACCCAATCTCATGAATTCAGCTCTCCCATGTCACAGATGCCATTCTCTAGGGCTCACGCTGACCATTAGGGCAGATGTCCACTGCCTCCATGGAGTGAATGTCAGTGTGTTCTACTGGTTTGGACTTGTGAGTGCAGGCTGCCACTATTCCCCTGTCTCCTGCAAATTGAAGACATTCCTTCCTCTACTATAGTTGACTTTACAAAGCACTGAATCACAGGTTTAGTGTAGCTTACAGCAAAAAGCATAGCTTTTTTGATCATTGGAAACACCAAGGGAATTCATATTTCTACCTAAGTGAGTGTGGGCAAGTTACATTTTGGCAGTGAGTTTTATACCTGCAAAATGGGGGATGAGCAGTACTTTGCACGATGCTGGAGGTTTAAATGAGATAATCAATGTACCTTCTTAATGATTTACAAGAATTCTCTCCTCATGACCTCCCTCAAACATCATATGCAAATGTTTTTCACGCATCCCTACATGGCCTGACGCAGGGATTTCTCCAAAGTGAGGGTTCATTTTCTTTGCCTGTCTATGGTAGTTTCTAAAGCTACATGAGTAGTAAAAGTACCAGCTGCATTTGAGAAAGATCATGGCAGATGGATTGCTTTTCCTAGAAAAAGTGCTAATTTCAGCAGTTAAAGGAGGTACTATTGAGCTCTTGGTGATTCAATTGAATAGAGTGTGGAATCACTCAAAAAAAGAAAAGGTAGTTTGCAACTACACTGATTATCTCATCAGAAAAAATAGGGAATAAAGTACAATTAGGGAATAAAATAGTGTAAGAGAAATGTGTTCCATGAACATCCTTATTCTCCATCAATAAGTTAGGGCTATAGACAGTTGTGTTTGGGAGCTTGTCCTGTACCAGTTGGTGTGCAATGGATGCCTAAGTGACCCTTCAGTGACCAAGTTACATTTTGACCTAACAGTTATAGTATCATGTACACTAAATTTGCTATTAGGGCTTAGATAGAAAGTAGTGTTATGCTTGTGAGTCAAAATGGTACTTTAATGAATGCATTGGAAATGACCATCGAGGTCCTGTGGTGCAGTCCATACTTACAGATGAGTCTCCTGAGATTTGGATTGGTGAAAGGGCATCTAAATAATCTTGAGGATATGCAGAGTTATGAAGAGAACCAAAGTCAGGTGAAATGAAGCAGCTCCTGGTCTTGGCTTTCTGGGGAAGTGCTGTGCCTCCCACTTTAGACAAAATGCTCAGCCTCTTTGTGCTTCAGTTTCTGTATCACCACAGTGGGAACTTGTCTGCTTTCAGCACTGGGTGAGTGGGTTGAGGTACAAACAGAGCATTGGGTCCAAAATAGATTGATAGGAGAGCCTGTAAAGCACAAGCTCAGTTCAAGTCAAGGACCTTGGTGGTGTACCTGGCACTGTGTTTTCAGAATGTTGAACTTAAATGCCTGTAGGTGTGTCATTCTCTTTTTCTCCCACAGATTCCACTTACAGCCAGCCTGATCATCCCACTGGATATTCTCTTTTGGGAACACTTGTCACCTAAACACCTCTGCATAGGTACACCCAGCTTCACATGTGTGTGATGTGGGAAGTATCATTTTAGGAATACCTGGCAAAATCTAGCTCAGTGGTGCTGCCGCCTGCCTCACAAGTGTAAGGTCCCGAGTTCGATCCCTGGTACCAAAACAAACAAACAAAAAAAGCCTGACAGGTACCATCCTCTTTCCATCCTTCTTCCTTTTCACTAGTTAGCTTTCTGATGCCTATATTTCTTTTGTTCAGTTCCCTAGAAAATAAAAAATGTCCATTGGAGGGGAAAACAACATTTTGAACCTTTGCTGTGGTGTATAATTTAGGCATATAAATTTAGCAGATTAAATTTCTTAATATACTTAGCAGTATTAGGAGTTGAATCCAGGGTCTTTGCACCGAGTTACATCCCCAGTCTTTTTATAAGTTTTAAAAATTCATTTTGAGCAGGTTCTTGCTAAGCTGTCCAAGCTAGCCTTGATGTTTTGATCTTCCTGCCTTAGCCTGCCAGAGTGCTAGTCTTATAGGGGTGTACCACCACTCCTGGTTAGATTAAAAAAAAAAATTGAGGGAGGAGTTTGACAGCAGAATCTAAGATATTGGCTCCATATGTTGGAGTATGTGTAGGTAGGAGAGGGAAACTACTTAGTAGATAGAAGGAATAAAAATATTTGAAAAATTTGTAATTCTATAAAGTGGGGAAATAGTCTTGTTTGGAGAGTTAAATGAAATGATTGTGTAAGTGTCACAAATTGCATTTGACTCATTACCAAGGTCAATTTAGCAAGTTTCTTTACAAGTTCAGGTCACAGAGAGTGCTCCAGAGCCCAAAACATACAGGAGCAGAGGAAGGTCCAGCAATTTTCTTATCCCATTTCTTTGAGAACTGATGAAAATATGATCTCCAGTGCATTCTAGAATGATAGTGAAGTACTTAATGGTGAGGCAAAATTCTGATTTTCAAATATTCTTTCATGAACTTAAAAGCCAAAAGATGATAGTGAAGTACTTAACAGGGATGCAAAACTCTGATTTTCAAATATTCATTCATGAGCTTACTGAAAAGCCAAAGGAAATTCAAATCTTTAGGGCAAGTGTAAGGAACTTGAAATTTGTCTACACAGGCCAAGAAGAGTAAAAATTTCAACAGTTACCCAGATGAATAGATTCTAGAAAAGTTTGCTGGACCATTCAAAGGAGCATTTGTCTTCCTCCTGTCCTCTCCATGTCCCCTACCACCTAACTCCCAGTTTTCCACCAATATGATTTTTTTGTCTGCATTATGTGTACACATTTACCTAGACCCATCATTTCACTGTATACACATAGGCCTTGTCTACAGAAGGAAACTGATGCAAATTCTCTTTTCCTTTATCATGCAGCTCCAGCCAAAGGCAATATAAATGGTGCATTAATAATATTCAAGTGAGTTAGCTTGGAGTCATTACCTCTCAAATCCAGGCCTTTCTCTCAGGGGTATAAATTACTTAGAAGATTCTCTAGACCTCACTATAGACCTCTTCAGGTACACAGCATATTCTGTGTATCTCTAGATCGTATACATAATTAAATAATTCATTATTTCCTATTTCTCAGTGCTCATCCTTGAAGTTGAATAACACTTGCATGTTTTTTACTTGATTTCTGGATCAGTTGAGAGTGTCTATAAGCAAGACTGTATATTTGCAACTGATCTTGACAGTAACTATAAAGAGGCAGCATGCAGAGATGAGGATGGAGATGAATTGGAAAAGAGAGAAGCTCAGGTTTTAGAATGCTTAACTCATTTTATGCTCAGTTGTTGTCTTATTGCTAAGAAGCAGGCTGAGGAGAGTGTTCAGAGGGGATGCAATGCCCAGGGTTTCAATGGAAACATTTAAACATTTTAAATGAGTTGCGTTTTTCAACTTCAAGTAACATACAGTAAATGCACTCAGAATGACTAAATAAGACAAGCAAAATGGTTTTTGAAAATTAACCCATTTATTGATTTCCTTCTAGAGAGCTAATTCCAAGGTGTCCATTTTATCCATGGCTACATACAATGATTGAATAGATTGAATACTTGTTAAATTTGTAAAAATCAGAGGTAGGATTTAAGAAATGATGTGCAGGGGTTCTACTGATCTTTTGACCATAACTTTTGGGGCCATGGAAAGAAAGGGTGGGAGACAGTGTCAAGGGAGAAGGATAACAAGAGAGAGCAGCACTCCTTAGAAGGCAGAATATACTGGGCTGTAGCTGCAGACACGGATTTACATGACTTTGCCTCCTGAAACCACTGAGGCCATGTAAGAGTGATGTCACTCTCGAAAGCCATGTCTTAGCCACACTAATGCAGCTAAGCAACAGTGCAAACACAAAAAGGATTTTTGTTGAATTTGAAGTACATTGTGTTTTGTTTTCCCCTAATGCATATAGAGTCCTAGTCTTGTTTTTTTCTGGCTGTCACTAAGTTTGCTTGTGTTACCCAAATCTATACCTACTTTTGCAGTGGCGAGCGTTTGAGGCATGAATTGAGAGACTAAAGGGACTTGACTTTTATCACAGAAAGATCACATGTGGACACGTATGAGGTGACTGGACATAACTCTTGGGAAAAGTCAAATGCTGAATTTCTGAGTAATCAGAGGATATGAACGTTGCCATCCTGGCCACCAAAAAACAAGTGGAAGCTCCTTCATCTGCCCCAGCAGGCATGTTAGGCCCCAAGTGCTCAGACATTGGTGAGGGCAATGGAGATCCAGCAGGAAACATATAGGTTTTGCTGATGTCCTCTTCTTCCCTAAGCACATGTGGAGATTATCGTTTAGTGCTGCATTGTTTTCACTGACCGTTTCTCCCACAAACTCCTTTCTCTTGCACCTGGGTTCTCTGGTTTGGACAAGGGTAGAAGGTTGAAGGAAGGTTATCGTCATGCTGACGTGCCATAGGTGGTAGGCATATGTAACATCTTGGGTCTGGAGTGTTCACTGTGAGGTTGATACCATCTGAACGATGATGGTTCCTATGTGAACTGATGAGACATGCTCTGGATTAGGTACTGACCAGCCTTCTTTAGGGTTTGAGTCACTTCTCTGAATTTCTTGGGGTAAAAATCATTTTCGGCAGGTCATCCATCTCATTTGGGTGTGTGGCCAGGTCGTTTGTTTTCTGTATGCTTTCCACACACCCTTCTTGTGATGTCTTCACATGGAATCGTCTCAGAAGTGTCACCAGGATGACTTTCATCATCACCATGGCTATGTATTTTCCTGCACAGCTACGGGACCCAAAGCCAAATGGCTGAAAATACCTGTAAGGAACCTAGAAAAATGATGAAAGAATTACCACACTGGGGAAGGCCAGAGTCTCGCAATACAGTGTCTGATTCACTCTGAAGACATTGGTCAGCCACAACAGTTAGTTTTGAGGTCTTAGCTACCCATGCTACCTCTTCACTGAGATGAAGGAGTCAGACGAAATAAGCACTTTTCTCATCCAGAGATTAACCTCTGGTGATACAGACCCCAACCTCAGAGGCTCCACTTTTGTGTTTCATGGTGAGCTGCAGTAAAGGGATGCAAATCAGCTTATTATAAATAATGTTAGGAAGCCCAGCCAGCTCTGTAGAACCACATTTTATGACTGATTTTTTTGACCCATGTAAAGTTTGATTTTAGGTGCTGCCATGAAAATGGACAAATATAGGCAACCAATGTAAATTGTTATGTCAATGCCAAGCATTTCTTTTTAGTTATGCTGAAAATTAATGAAGATTACATCTTTTTGTCATGTTTACAATATCCCTGGTATATAGTAGTTGCTCATACATTTTTTTGTGTGTGTGTGCGCGTATGGCATTATCTGGATTACCTGTGTAGAAATTGGCTAAATAAGCATAGTAGATTAACATTGTGTTTCTAGCCTGGATAAACAAAAAGGTGAAGGCGAAAACCGGATATTTAGGCATAAAAATACAGTTGCCTAAATTTTGACAAAATGGAGGCACAATCGTCAACATTCATCAGTGATTAATCAAAAAATAGCTGAAATTTCACACCCATCAAAGCAGCACTCCAAAAACTCTCAAGGATATTTTAGAAAGAGACGATGAAATGAATGATGTGAAAAAGTCCAGCAGAATGAATGCATCAGGTAGGATAAGCCCTTAAGCAGAATTGGGAAAAAAGGAATCAGCACCAGGAAAATAATGTAATGACAGGAATAAATCAGTACCTTTCAGTAACAACTCAGTAAGAATGCTCCATAATCAAAAGACACAAATTGGGATTGGCAAATTGGGTCAAAATGCAAAACCAAATGCTATGTTATGTATAAGAAACACTTTTAATCCAAAAAGAAATTTAAAGACTAAAAACCAAAGGATGGATATTCTATGCTACATGAGCCTGAAAACAAGTAGGAGTAGGTATTGTATTGCAGACAAAGTGTACTTCAAGGCAACATTGATCAGAAGAGGCAAAGGTTACTACATATTGGTTAAGGGAACAGTTCAACTAGAAGAGACAACTGTTATAAACATATGTGCACCACATATCAGAACTTGCAATGTCATTAAAAAATACTGGTCATAAAATATCAGGTAAACATCAACACAGTTAAAGTGAAGGACCTCAATAGATCAGTATTACATATAGACATATCAATTAGGATTTCAACAAAGAAATACCAAAGTTGGGCCACACCTTCCACAATGGATATAGTAGATATCTATAGAATGGTCCATCCAGCAACAGAGTTAACATTCTTCTCATTAGCACAGAACTTTCTTCAAAATAGACCACACACTAGCCCATGAAGCAGGCTTCAATAAATGTAAAAGAATAAAAATTATTCCATGTACATTATCAGCTCCCAGCTCAATGAAACTAGAATACAATAGCAAAAGAAACCAGAGAAGTTATACAGATACATGGAGATTAAACAATATACTTTTCAATAATCAATGGATCCCAGAAGAAACTAAGGAAGAAATTAGCCCTTTCCTAGAATGAATGGTAATTTCAGTGGAACATACCAGTACTCATTTGATACAATGAAAGGAGTCCCAATAGGGAAGTTTATAGCTATAAATACCCACATCAGAAAAGCAGAGCAAGTCCAAATAAATAACCATATGATGCACCTCAAAACCCTAGAAAAACAAAAACAATTCAAATCCAGTGCTAGTACAAGGAAGGAAACCATAAAGATGAGAACCGAAATTAATGAAATTGAATCAAAGAGCTAGTTCTTTCAAAGAATAAACAAAATTGACAAACCCTTAACCAATCTTACCAAAAAAGGAAAGAAAACACCTATATCAGTGCAATTAGAAATGGAAAAGGTGAAATCACAAAGGACACCACTGCAATCTAGAAGCTCATAATTCACTGCAGAAAACTGTACTCCAATATATTGGCGAATACAGAAAAAAATGGATAGATTCCTAGATACATATGAATTACCAATATGGAGCAAAGAAGATATAAAAAGCCTGAATAATCCACTAAAAGGCAGTGGAATTGAGGCAGTAATAAAAAATCTATCAAAAAAGAAAAGCCCAGGATCCCATGAATTCACAACTGATTCTACAAGAACTTCAGGGAAGATCTAATGCCAGTCTTCCTCAAACACTTCAGTGAAATTGAAAGGGAAAGCATACTGATAAATTCATTCTTGGAAGCTAGCATTTCCTTGATTCCAAAACCAAACATGGACTCAAGTATAAAAGAAAACCACAGGCCAATCTCCTTCATCAACACAGATACTAAAATCCTAAATCAGATACTGACAAAGAGAATGAAACATCTCATTAACAAGATCATACATCATGGTCAAGTAGGCTCATCCTAGGGGTGCAAGAACAATTCAACGTACACAAATTAATAAATGTAATACAGCACATAAGCAGAAGTAAGAGCAAAAATCACATGACCATTTCAATAGATGCAGAGAAAGCCTTTGACAAAATCCAACATCCATTTATAATAAAACCCTATAGAAGAACCTTATTTCAATCTTACCAAAGCTATTCATGAAAAACCTACTGCTAGCATCAGATTAAATGGGAAAAAATGGAAAGCTTTTTCTATAAATTCATGAACAAGACAAAGATTCTACCATTATTACTCCTCTTCAATATAATACTCAAAACTGTAGCCAGAACAATCAAGCAAGAGAAAAAAACAAATATGATACATACAGGAAAGCAAGAAGTCAAACTACCCTTATTCATAAATGACATGATCCTTTACTTAGAAGAAACAAAAATTTCCACCAAAAGACTTCTAGTTGTAATAAACAAATTCAGCAAAGTGGCTTGATACAAAATCAACACTCAGAAATCAATAGCATTCCTATACACCAATGATGAGCCTGCTGAGAAAGACAAGGAAAACAATACCCTTCACAATAGCTTCAGGAAAAGTTAAATACTTAGGAGTAACCTAACTAAGGAAGTGAAAGACCTCTACAACAAAACCGACAACACTCTGAAAAAGATCAAGGATGACATCAGAATATAGAAAGATATCTTCTGTTCTTGGATAAGCAGAACAGTATTGTCAGTGACCATCCCTCAAATCTAGTATATTGATTTAATGTAATCCCAATCAAAATACCAACAGTATTCCTCAAAAAACTAGAGAGAACAATCCTAAACTTCATATGGAACCAGAAGATACTTAGAATAGCAAATGCAATCCTGGGTAACAAGAACAAAGCAGGAGACACCATGATCCCAGATTTCCAGTTATATTACAAAGTTACATTGGTCAAGACAGCATTGTACTGGCACAAACAGACAGATCAATAGAGCAGAATAGAGGATGCAGAAACAAAACTCAGGCTTATTCAACCCTCTGATATTTATAAAAGGTCCAAAAAGATAAGCTGGAGGAAAGATAGCCTCTTTAACAAATGGTGCTGGGAATACAGGCTATACAGAAATAAAAGAATGGATCTACACCCATATGTCTCACCAAGTGCTAAACTAAAATCAAAGTTGACCAATATCTAAATATTAAAACAGAAAAAATAAACCCAATGGAAGAAAAAATTGTAAAACTCTTGAAGTCATGGGTGTAGGCAAGGACTTTCTGAACAGAACTCCAATTGCATAAGAAATAAGAGCAAGAATCAATAAATGGGATTCTATCAAATTAAGACCCTTCTGCACAGCAAAGGAAACAACCAAAAGAATGAAAGGACAAGCTACAGAATTAGAAAATAATTTTTTCTAGCTACTCCTATCACAGAGAGATAATATCTAGACTATATAAAGAACTCCAAAAAAGGTCCCCTAAAATAAAAGACCCAATCAAAAAATGAGCAGCTGTAATGAATAGATACTTCTTAAAAGTAGCACAAATAGTCAATAAATACATGAAAAATGATCAGCATCTTTGGCCGTTAGATAAATGCAAATTAAAAACAACACTGAGACTCCCATCTTACTCCAGAAAGAGTTAAGAAATCAAATAATAAATGCTGGCAAGCCGGGGAAGAACACTTCTACTATATTTCCCACAAAATAAAATCTAACTGGAAAATATGACTTAGCATAATTTTTTAGGATGCTTGTAATGTAAGCCCTGCCCCTAAAATAAGCCTCAGTTAAGATCATCAACCAGACAGATGCATTTAGTATGTCCTTTACAACACAGGATGGATGTATTGAATTATAAAATAACGGTATTAATATATAATTAGATATATAGGATTATTAACATCAATACTTAAATAATAATATAAATTATAATTAAATATTTGTAAACACCCAAGTGGGAACCTTCGGATGAGAAGTAAACCCCTATACAAACAGGTGAACTTGAGACTTACTGCCAAATGACCACTGGGGTACAGAGACCATGCAAAAATAACGTGTGCACATTTGATAATGAACAGACATAGTTATATTTAATAGGAATCTTCATAATCTAATACATTGTGCATTATAACAGACATACTTCATACAATTGGGCAAAATAAAGAAATGTTTTCTGAATTTTGGTGCCTGCAATTTTTTGTTACTTTTGTGTGGACCATCATTCTTAACTGTCATCACTTTTGCTGACATTCCTGTGGCATAAGTCTTCAATTAACACTGAATTTAATGGAAACTGTGAAGCCCAGCCTGAAAGAGATTGTGACTTGGGTGAAGAGTTCATGGGGTAAAATCATTGACAGCTGTATTGCCAAAGCACTACAAGCAGGCTACATGGACAAGAAGTGCTTATTTAAGGAGAGCTATATTGCTGGAGATGAGAGACTGGTGCCAGTGATTCTACAGGAAATGCAGTCACAAGAAATTCAGACCAGAATTCAGGATTTAGAGAGTCATGATGGTGTTCTCAAAGAAGATGACATGACTGTCTTTGAATAAATGTAGATTTTGGTACATGAATAACTGTAGAGTTTGGTACATGAATAAATGTACATTGCTATACATGAAGAAATAGAACATCCCCTGAAAATAAGCCTTATTGCATCTTTTGGAGCAAAAAAAAAATTTTTTTTGAGACAAGGTCTCACTATGTAGTTCAGGCTGGCCTTGGACTCACTATGTAACCCAGGCTGGCCTCGAACTCATGGCTGTCCTCCTGTCTCAGCCTCCTGAATGCAGGGATTACAGGCATGTTCCACTGTGCCCAGCAGGAGCAAAAATGAAAATAAGAGCTAGTCTAGGGCCGGGCATTTAGCTCAGTGGTTCTACCGCCTGGCTAGCAAGCACAAAGTCCTGAGTTCGATCCCTGGTACCAAAAGAAAAAAATAGCTGGTCTTATTTTCAGGGAAATACTATACATAGTTGGTGGGAATGTAAACTACTACAACCACTATGGAAATCAGTATGGAGATTCTTCTAAGAAATAAAAGTAGAAATTCCATTCAACCAAGGTTTTTCCCTTCTAGGTATCTACCCCAAAGATTTAAAAACACCGCATTACAGTAATACATGTTTATAGCAGCACAACTCATAATAGCTAAATCTTGAAGCCACCTATATGCCCATCCACACAGGAATGGATAAAGAAAATGTTGTCCTTATACACAGTGGAGTACTACTCTGCTAAAAAAGGGTTATGTTAGAGTCATTTGTAGGAAAATGGATGCACCTTGAACCATAATGCTAAGGGAAATCAAACATAGTGTAAATATCTCAAGGTTTCTCTTATATGAGAGGTCAAAAGTATAAATTAACAAAATAAAAGATAGATAACAGCAAACAGGGAAATAGAACATTTGCAAATGAAAAGGGACCAAGAGATAGAGGGGGAAAGAAAGAGAGAGGAAGAGGAAGTAAATACAATATGTGTTACGAACAGGTACCAAATCGCTATGAGGAATATAATTACTATATGCTGGAAGCATGAACTAATAAAGATAAAAATTCCAAGTGGAAAAATCCAAAAAAATAAAAGCTGAATGTCTTGAAGTTATTAGTCTGATTTAGAAAGAGACATACTGTACATGGAGACATTTCATGAACCAAAGGCAGAGTGAACAAAGTCGATCTTTTGGTCTCATTTGATTCCCACTTACAGCCTAGAGGATTTCCTCTACTGAGATGGTCTTCCAGCTACATATGAGGATGACAAAGAGATTTCTTAAAGGAAAAGCAAATTACCTAGGTTCAATGAAACAGACCTCATGGCCAAAAAGGGCCTGGATTTTTCACTTTTTACCCAGTCAATTGCCACCATTTAGATATTTTCGAGAGCTGGGAACCCATCATCCTGTCTGCAAGGCCAAATATGGTGCCATGTTCCAAATTAGGGAAAGGAGCAGGAGTCAGCAGAAGGGAAACAGTAAAAGGCTTAAAGTGTGCAAGGTACAAACACACCGAACGAGAAAGGATTTAACACCAGACATTGTCAGGAGTAGTACAATGGATCTTAAGGAAGGACTCTTACATTCTTCTCAAAGTTTTCAAGACTAAATTCATTGGGCTTGGGGAAAAACTCCAGTCTATGCATTCTTCCAATATTCAGGATAATGTTGGTTCCTTTCTTCACTGGGTAGCCGTCAATGACATCATCTTCTAAGGCCTTGCGCATGACCAAGGCCACCACAGGCTGGTATCGCATGCTCTCATAGATGAAGTTTTCCACCACTTTTAATTTCTGCATATCATCAATCTCTATGTCTCTTTCACCTGGGGACACAGTTAAAAAGGAAAAGGAAGGTAATGCTAGTTTCGATATCTGGTGGGCCTTAAGGCTCCTATTTCTTTCACAGAACAGTTTTCTTGGTTGAAAAAAGAAAATCATGTCAATACTTCCAGTGCATTCTGGCAACCACAACCATTGAGCCACATGGATTTTTATTAAAACTCAGATATGAAGCCAGTTAATCTTCAAACCTGGGGAGTTTCACAGATAAGCTGAAATTTCATGAAAAATCAGAAAATGTGGTATCACTGAACCACGTGCAGCAAAAGGCTGACGCTGAGGGTTTGCTCACCCCTTAAGAGGGACGCCCACTGTACAGATCCATGTCAAACACACACAGTGTGCTCCACACAGTTGCTTTTCTGACTGCTCTGAGGGCTGTGAGTTTTGGTCCTCTGCTGTAAAATCTGGGGAATGTTCATGTCCTCCCTCGACTCATGAGAAAAGCAGTACCACAGTCATCCCAGAGAAGCAGGGGCAGGCTGCTGCTGCAGTCAAGAGAAGCACGGTCAGTTTAGTCCATTTCAGCAAAATTTTCTCCTCTGGTGATCTGTGCAGTCATTGCCCACACAAGTCACCAATGGTCCCTCTGTATTACATCAGGAGCAGCCAGTTACAGTGGAGTGACAAGAATCCACCCACACTAGCGCAAAATAGGTGCTGCACAACAGGTCTGGGGAGGTGGTTGGTATTGATGGGCATCTCTGCTTAAGCCTGGGTTGATGCCAGTCAGGAGGATTGGATTAGTACCAACCATGGCAGAGCTGCAGAGGACTCTCAGTGGGCCACTGCTTTTGCAGAATTGGAACCGACTTGCCCCCCATGTGGTGCTCTTGCACCAAGGATCTAGTGAGAGTGGCTAAGTGGGGTGGGAGGCAGAAGGGAAAAGGATCAAAGTGACCAAAGGCACTTGCTAAAGTGCAGGGACCTCATCTGTCTGCTGAGCACAGGAGGGAGCAAGGACATGTGCAAATGTTGTGCTGTTTCTCCGTCCTTCAGGGGTGTGCTGAAGGGTCTTGGAAACATCAAGAAGCACAAACAATGTAGCACAAGCCTGGACTGTAATCCCTGCACTCTGGGAGGCTGAGGCAGGAGGTTCACAAGTTCAAACCCTGTGCAGGTAACTTAGTGACTTAGCGAGACCCTGTCTTCAATGAAAAGCGAAAAAGAGCTGGAGTCCAGCTTGTATGATGATCTTTGATTTAAGCTTGAGCCGTGCAAAGCAAAAACAAAAACAAAAAGCACTTAAAAGGACTTCTGCATTCTCCCCGAAGGCAATTCTGATATCTGATGACTGGGGCCATGTTTCTTTGAGGAGTTGGCATGGGGTGACACAGAGGGCTGTAAGGAGGGGGACATGGAAGATGAGAGGCTGACTCCCCAGCAGATGAGGGGGCAGCATCCCTGGTGGGGCAAAGAAGGAAAACCATCCCTCACCTGTTTTTGCTGTTACCCTTTTCCCCTCCTGCTGCCACCACCTGGAAGTTAATTTGTGATCTGGCTGCTTCTAACCTGGAAGCACTACTATAAATGACAAATGTTTTCCTGGTGCATGCACAAAAGCCAGTTGTGACTGATGATGCCGGCAGAGCATTGTACATGATCCCACCTTCTTATAAGACAGACAAACCCACACATCTGTGTTTGTGTGCACAAAGGAGATGATCCTGTGGAATCCACAGCACACATTGAGCAGTGGTTACCCCTGTGGTGGGACTGAGGCTGGAAGGACAGTGGAAAGCACTGGGGAATGTCACTCTGCTTTGTACGTCTCTTGATATTTGAAGGTTTTCAATGAGCAAGGCTTATTTTTATAAGTAAAATAAACACAGAACTATCACTCAACCTATGTGGCATAGTCAAAGTGTGACAACAATTTGCTCTGTTTTTCTCTAAGTGAATAATGAACGATTCTGTATTTGACATCAGATTCTGAGGACAAAGGAGGTGACATTCAGAGTTATTCTTAAGCTCTGCTGTTGAGCTGATAAAACCTTACCAATAATAGTCTGGATTTCCTTCATGATTGCTTCTTCAACTTTAGGGTGCTCTGCAATGAGAAACAGCATGAAGTACACCGTGACAGACATGGTGTCAGGTGCCGCAATGAGCATCTCCAGTATGCACTGGTTCACATTCTCTCTTGTGAGTTCTCCACGTTTCTGAGAAATTGAAAGAGGGGAAACATTTGGACAACTGAGTTAAAATTTCCACAGTAAAGAGTAGTGACACTCAGAGATCAACAACATGAAATTATGTCTGTCTCACTGACTGTGAACACTTGACAGGACAGTCTTCAGCTGAAATATGCAGGATTTAGCCAGTTATCTACATGCAGTGGGTCCTTCATGTCCTTGGGTTCCACATCTATGGACTGAACCAACTGGACATGGAAAATATTTTTTTTAAACTGGGTATACTGGACATGTATAACTCTTTTGCTCACCATTTTTACCTACACAGTATACTAAAGCAACATTTTACATTTGCTGAGATTAAAGTATGCTGAGGACATGCACAGGTTACATCATACATGGTACCACTTTGTGCAAGGGACTTGAGCATCCTTGCATTTTAGTTTCTGGGGAGAGTTCTGGAGCCAAGGCCCTGTGGATATTGAGAGATGACAGTGCTTAGTATCTTTGGTCTCTCTATTTCCTGCTCTCCTATTTTGTATCA